CTGGATTTCATACCTTCAGCCACACCACTCTCAGTAGGGCCTGGGATTTTAATGCAGCCTTTGAAACAGGAGAGAAGCAGAGTATCTGGTGAGTGGGAAGGGCTAAAGGCAGTGAGGAGATCGGGTAAATCCCTGTCCTCCTCTCCCAGCCCCAGAAGTAACCCAGACCCACTGCTTCCCATGTGCACCCTCCTTGCTGGGACCCCTCTCCCCGTGTTTGTGCATTCTTGTTTTACAGGGAGGGAAACGCCAGCGAGAGCCAGCAAACATAAACTGAGTGAGCAGGGAAGCTAACGAGCTGCCCGTAAAAACAGAGCTGCAAGAGCCTGGGGCGAGGGGCTGGCAGTGGAGGGGCCGTGCATTGGGGCTACCATATTGCAGAGTGCTTCCACACCAAAAAGGGCCCCTGCAGGCCCATTTGGGTGTGGGCTGCCTGTGGTTCCCACTTGCATGTTCAGGTTTTGCTGGTGCAGGCACTGCCATGTGTCCATGCTGCAGCCAAGGCTGCCTGTGCCAGCATCCCTTGCAAATGAGTGCACGGGAAAGAGGAACAAGAATGGGTGGCAGTCAGGAACTGAGGCTCAGCTCCCAGCTCTACCATGGCACAGCTGCCCCACTAAGCACCAACACCCCCCAAAATGCGATGCTTCACCAAATTTCCAGCCAGCTGTGCACTGCTGTGACACACAGCACGCCCCCAGGCAGCCCCAGCCCTCTTCCCTTGAGTGCAGATGCTGCAATGCAGTTCTGCCACAGAAATATTTCCACCCCACTGTGACACACAGAGCACATTTTGAAACGCTGCAAGGCATTGCAAAATGTCTCTGTGGTCGCCGTTTATCCCGCTGAGATGGAGAATGGGGTTCCTGGTCTGTGCTGCTGTGGATGTGGTTGGGGAAATGCCAGCACTCGTTGCACAAGTGATCAGTGCAGTGGATGCTGTGGGAGGATGTGAGAACGCCATCATTTATGTGCAATGAGCTGTGCCTGTTCTTGGCTTCACCCACCTGGTTTTGGGAGTTTGCTTCCAACTGGAGCTGCTCACAGTGGCCAGGACCCTTTTGGGACATTTGGGCCAGAGCTGGGTTCTGTTCTGGGCCCTTTTCCGAGCCAAATAAACCCACATTGCTCTCATCCTGCCAGCACTCCAGTACAGACAAGCAAACACATGACCAAACTTGAGCAAACCTGCAGGGTGAGAGCCTAGTGAATACAGACTGAAAAACTCCTTTTTTGGTCTTTTCCTGTTTTACAGCTGGTCAGAGGACGTGGGCAAATGTTCTCAGCATGATCTAAGAGCCAGGTGACACTTTCTGGGACTTTCCTAAGAGGATGTAGAGAGCAGCATTCACTCCCTGCCACCACGCACTTGAACACAAGAGGTTTGCACAAGAAGTCATTGACACCTGAAGGAAAAACCCAACCACTGGTCACAGAAGAGAACAGGATCATTAAGATTGGAAAAGACCACTGGGTTCATCTCCAACCATTAACCCATCCCTGCCATGCCCACTGTCCACGTCTCTCGGTACCACATCCATCCTCTTATTGAACCCCTGCAGGGATGGGGACTCCACCACTGGATCTGACATGGCCTCACCTGAGGACATCAGTTCCTGCTCTTGGAAACACCCAGATCCAAAAGAAACGAGAGCTGCGATTAGAAAACGCACCCTTCTAATCTGCACTGACATCTCCATTGATTTTTGGGTTCATTGGCTCTTGGAAGCTCGAGAAACCCAAGCTCAGCTTTGGTAAACTCTGAGACGAATGCTCCTGCATTTCCAGTTGGGGCTGAACAGGTCGTGGTTCCCCACGCCCTGCACGGGGCTGACATCAGTTCCTCTCGTTTTTATTGTCCCAGGCCCAGCTCTGGCCCTGATTTTTAATTGCCTCATAATTTCTGCAGCACTTACAGCTTTTATAAGCCTCCTGCCTTCCCTGAGGTCAAGAATGAGTGCCCCCAGCTCCCCCATTTTCTTAATCACCGAATAGTTGTGAGCAGTAAAAGAGGAACGTGGATGCCATTTCCTCGCACTGAAGGGTGCACTGCAGTTTAACGAAGGCAAAGGGGGGAAAATGATTGAGGGATGAAGTAACTTTGTGGCCTTCCTTGGCCACCTCCATCTGTTGGTGTCAGGGAGCACCAGAAGGGTGGAGATGCCGGGGGAGGACAGATGTCCTTCATGCTTTTGGGGTGGTTTGTTGTCAGACTCTTTATAGGGGCCGGTAGCACTGAGGGTAGGTTTAACCCTGCCCAGTTTGCCAGAATTGGGCCTGGTGGACTGACTGCCTGTGGGTGGTAGGAAGCAGGCAGGGTTTGGCTTGCTTTCATTAGGAGCAGACTGAAGCTGTATGAGGCTCTGAAGGAGGTGTAAGGAGGAGTTGCAGCCAGGAGGGGTTTTCTAGGGAAGGTTTCCCATTCTGACAGCCCCCACGCAGCCAATCTGTGCCCAGCACTGATGGAGACAGCCCCATCCCAAAGCAGCCCAAGGCCTGGTTTGCAGGCAGCAGCACACGGAGTACAGAACCATAGAATCATAAAGGTTGGGAAAGGCCTCCAACATCACTGAGTCCAACCCCAAGCTGCCCCACCATGCCCACATTCCTCAGTGCCACATCCCCATGGTTATGGAGCATCCCCAGGGACAGTGACCCCCCACTCCCTGGGCAGCTGTGCAGTGCAGCACTGCTCTTTTAGCAGAGATTTAACCTCAGTGAGAACTGAACAAAGCTGTTAAAGCAAATTCTGCACTCGGCAAAAAATGAACCTCCCCAGCTGTCCCTAAATAGATGTACTGCCTTACTCTGTTTGCACTCAGATTTCCCCCAGGAAAATACTAAGTTGGAGAGGCCAGAAGTGTCCCTGCTCCCCCCAGATACCAGGATGGACAGAAATAACACAGCATGGTCCTAGGATAACAATGACTTCGTGCTGTTGTGTTATAGCCCTAAACATAGCCAGCCCTACTGCAGTGCAGATAAGTTCATTGGGAGCTGACAGACACCAAATGCTTGCTTGATTTCATGTGCTGGGGCTGAAAAATTTCATTAGCATCAGAAGCACTAAAGAAAAAAGCATTTTTCTAGCTCTCAGAGTCAGCAAAAAGCTCAAAGACATCCAAGAGGGAATCAAAAGGCAGAAGAAACGGCAGCAACAGAAGCAAAATGAAATAGAGAGTTCTTGCTGAGCGCTGATGCTGGAGATGCAAATCGTGATTTGTGAACGCCTGGAGATGGAGAAGTGGAGGCCATCCGAAAAGGGAGCGAATAAATGAGACTTTGTATGAGGTCCATGGAGATAACTCAAAGCGAGAGCGAGCCGGTGTTTTTCCAGCTGAATAGAGTTCTGCCAGACAGCATTTTGCAGGCAGGTTTTGATGTGATGAAAACATCTATTCAGGATTCTGAACGCATTGTGCTTGGGGAAGGTGAGCAGCAGCACCAAGTCGTGCCCCTGCCCTCTCTCAGATCCTGCATTACTTTGAGCACTGAGGACTGCAAAGGGCTAAAAGTCACAGCTGTGATTTATTTTCCCCTTTCTTTCCACATTGAGCATCCTCACTCACACAGCCTCCTGCATCCTGAGCTACACCACACTCCCAACCCACAGGGAATGATGCAAAAAGATGCAGGGAATATTCCAGGGCTGGAAATGATGGCTCACAGAGAGATGGGCAGGGGGTGGCAGGTCCTCACAGCCCCCCCGGCTGACACCTTCAGGGGGAGGTCGGCACAGAAACAGCACAGCACAGCCAAAATATGCGGTGGTGCCGGCGGCCCAGGTAGGTGCTCGGGGAGGGATGTCCATAGGGTGGGCTGTGGAAAGCTGGCCGGCGGCTGCACAAAGCCTGCTGTGAGCCAAAGCAAACAGCTCCTGCTCCAAGTGCCTGCCTGGCTCAGCGCACAGAGAGGCACCGAGGCACAAGGTGAGGTGCTGGAAACGGAGCTGGGAGCAGCGGGGGCCTTAACCTTCACTTCTTGGCCTGCTCCTGGGTTTGCAGGAGATGGGGGAGCCATTTGTTTGTTGCATTTGTGCTGTCGGCAGTGAGCCAGCAGCTCAGAGCACCGTGCATCACACAGCACCGTGCATCACACAGCACTGTGCATCACACAGCACCGTGCATCACACAGCACTCTGCTGCCCCACACCCCTCCTAGAAATGTGCAAACGAACCCATTCTAAGAAAGCACCTTAAGATCTCCATACCCCTCTCATCTGAGCCCTTCTGCTGCGATGCGCTGTGAACACAGGGCCACCCCTGGCTGCTGCTGGCTGCTCCTGTCCCCTGCCACAGATGGCACGGGTCCCAGTGGATGGCATGGCCCAGCTGTGACCGAGGTGTGGAGGGCGGTGGGAGGCGATGGCTGGAAGCCAACCACCCTGCCATGAGATCCCCAACTGTTCTCCATGAAGAATGGCCCCTTGTCCTGCCCCGGCCAAGGGACAGCCGGGCGGTGTTGGGGACAAAACATCGATTTGCAGAACCATCAACAAAGGAAGCACAACAGCCGAGGCAGACGGGGATACCTCAGCCCTTGGCATGGGCCCAGCAGTGCCACAGACATCATTTCATGCTGGGATTCCTGCAAAGCAAAGGGCAGCCGCAAGCACTGTGGGACGTATGGGATGAGTGGTGTGATGGGGAGCATTTTCCAGCTAAAATAATGTCACAGAGTGACATTTACTGTTTTTTTTCACACACACAGCCTGCTTTCTCCCATAGCCTGCCCACCGTGGGGAACAGACACATGGGAACCTGCCCAAGTTATGTCATTCATAACCAACTGAGCGTATGGGGTTTGCTTGCTTCCTTCTGTCCACCAGAAAAGTCCCAAAATATGGGTTGGTCATAGAATTTACTCTTCCTGATGTCAGAACTGCATGCAGCTCTGCAGGGCAAAGGCAGCAGATGCACTGAGTGATGCCAAAGAACAAGCAGGCAGCAATAAAAGGAGTTGGGCTCAGTGATCCCTCCCAGTTGTGAAAAGGCACTCACCTGCCACAGCCTGCAGCAAATCCCTCTACTGCTGGTGGTCCTCGTGCAGGAATGTGCAAGCATCAACCCAGAGCCTTGGGGTGGGAGGGTGAGGGTTGGGGTGAGCATCCACAGGTGGGTTTGGGGGTATTTCCTGAGCAGCAGAAGTCAGTGAGCCTGTGGGAGAGAGCAACAGCTTGTCATTCTTGATATCAAAGCCACCAGCTATATGTTACATTTAATAGGACAGTTATCGAATGTTAAATACTGGCATGATTAAAAGCATATTTATAGAGGATTAACAGCTCTGTAATGGCTGCATGTCTGCTCTGAGGCCCTTAAATCTCCCAGAATATGTTTCTAATCATCTATACAATAACCATCTTAATAAATCAGAATTAAAGGCATGTTTGGGTGAGCGCGGATCCCAGCCTGCACCTGGCAGCCTTTTGTAGATGGGAAAGAAGAAAACTCCCAATTTCTGTACAAAAAATGCCATTCTATGGGGGGTGTTTCTCACTCTGCATCACTCCAGGCCTCCCGGGATGGGTCTGGGCTGTCCCAGGGCAGTGCGTGTCCTGCTGTCAGCAAAGCACTGCAGCACAGCAAAGGCATTCTGCAAAAATAAACGCCGGGGCAGAGTTGGAAATGTTTATTTTCCAAGAGCAGGCCATTCATCCAGCGACACCGCTCTGCTCCAGAGAGTCCCCCTCTGTTTATATGGGATGATTAATGAGACGCAGATTGTCCGTAGCCCTGACGGATGCTGCAGTCACCAAGTATGAACTTGGGAGTGATCCCACCTCTGCCTGGGCCATCCTGATTGGCCTGGAGAATGGATTTTCTTCCTGTTTTGTGCAATCAAATCCAAGATTTTATTGCTTTTTTTTTGATTTTATGGTCTCTCCATCCACCCTCTGCAATCAGTCCTCTTTAGGCTCTTTAGGCTGCGACCTCCACTAAGATGGGAGCGGGGCTCAGAGAGCTCCAGGCAAATAAATGGGCCGAGCCAATCCTAAAGGAAGGAGCAAACCCAAGAGCTGAGGTGTGCTCATGACCATACACCATGACGTGCTCCAGCCCTGCAGCCTGAAAGCAGTGCCATGCCCATAAGACACAGGCTGTCCCTGTCCTCATCACTCCACCATCACTCATGTTGGTTTTGTGCCATCTGCTCACCCCATGGGTGCATACCTGACTTCCCCATAGAGAGATTTAAGAAAAGCTCAGTTTTCACCCTTTGAGAAGCTGCCATAAATCACTCCCTGCCGTTAACAGGCACAGCTGCACAGGGGGTGGTGGGTCACTGACCATGGGGGTGTTCCAGCACCGTGGGGATGTGGCACTGAGGGAGGTGGGCAGTGGGCATGGGGTGGGCTGGGGTTGGGTTTGGGGGTCTGAGAAGTCTTTTCCAAGCTGAATGATTCTATGAGTTGTTTCTGATTGCAGCTGGGAGGGACTGGGGAGCTGTGGCTGAGACCAACCTGTGTAAGTGGGCTCTAATTAGCCCCACTAATCAAACGCCACCGGGGGAATCACTCTGCACAGAGACAGAGGAGCTGAGGGAAAGTGCAGGACACAAATTAATGAGCCCAATTAATAATAATAATAGCAAAGACATTTTTTGCAATGGCTAAAAGGGGTTGGATTGAAACCATCTTGAACTTGTCACCACAACAATGCTTTTGCACCCCTCCAAAATATGGCTCAGGGCAGCAGCAGTTGACACATTTCTCCAGCACTTGAAGCTCAAATTGAAAAACTGCCATTAACATTAAAAAGGAAAAAAAAAAAAAAAAAAAACTTTTAAAAACTCCATACGTTCCTATTTTTTTCCCTCCTTTCTGATTCACCCTTCCGATATTTTGCTTGGACTCCAGTCCTGATGCATTCGTCCTCCTTAGCACATTTTTGGGTTGCTTCCACCATTGTTCTTGGAAACATCTTTTTTTAAAGGACATATATTTAGATATACAACCTGGTCTCCCATGTTAAAAATCCTGCTTGAAGCTGGAAGGGGAAAGCATGCAGGACAGTGAGCCAAGCCCTGGGCCAAAGCTGCTGCCCCGGGCGCTCGTGGTGTGCATGGGGTGTGCATGCAGCACGGGTGTGTGTGTGTGTGTGCAAGGGGTGTGCATGAAGCTGTGTGTGCATCTGCACGTGTGTGCAAGGGATTACATGGAGGTGGGTGTGCATGAATCTGTGCATGCGTGCGTGTGCAAGGGGCTTTTTGCACTGGGTCAGGAGAGAGTGCAGGTGGCTACGTGGTGCTGGGGGACCTCAAGGTGTCAGCACAGTTGATGGCACAGTGGGTGGGATGTTCTGTGTGTGGCACTGGAGGGCTCTGTCTCCAGTGCAGACACATCTCCCAAAGCTCTGCCAGCACAAACAGCAGGGCTCACTGCTCCAGCCCTATAGTCCCCAGAGGGGCTGGAGCATGGCCCCACATCCCCCATCACACCTCTGCAGCCCGAGCTGGGTTCAGAGGGTCATGAGCATTTCCTTCAATCTTGCAGCATGCCCAAGTGTCTTTGCAGCAATGCTTTGGGCATGGTGAGGGGCTGCACAGGCTGCGTGGGCAGCTGCACCCCGTGCACTGGGGCTGGGGCAGGCTGGATTTAATAACCCGCGAGCGCTCAGCCCGCACCCAAACATCTCATTTTGAAAAGCCAGCTCAGAGTCCAAGAAGCACTCGCAGGCTTTTCATAAACACACTTTAATAATCTTCATCAAGAATTTTAATACAGAGCGAGCAGCTTGCCAGGAAATGCATTTACACTGTCAGCTGCCGAGAGAAATGGCCCTGCACTGCTGCTCAATACCAGAAACACCCTCTCCCCCTCCCTCCCATGCTTCCTTTCCTTCCCTTTGTATGAATGTGATGGAGCTGGAGAGCAGGTGGGGTGCAGGCAAGCAGCACAGAGATGCTGCCCATCTCCCATTGGGATGCTGCCCATCTCCATTTGAGATACAGAGACTCATGCTATACCTCTTTTTTTTTTGCTGATAGTTTGGGGGTTTTAAAGGCTGCAGGCAGCATCTTTCCCTCTCTTCTGCTAACCTGCAGTATTGGGGGGTAGCTACAGAAAGCTGGTTATTTAGATGATGGGAATGACCAGGCGGTTGCAAGCTATGGATATGGTTATAACAGCCTTTCCTTCACAGCAAAGATTAATGGGATCACAAAAAACGTCCTGGCTGGCTGTGGCATTAAACAATTAAAGGTTGAGGGTTTACCATCTGCTGGCGCATCAGGTTTTGGTTGCTGCCAGAGGCAAAATACCCGATTTGATGTACCCCGGGCCCACAGGGCTGCTGATGGTGGGAATTGTGTTTTACAGCCTTTTTCCCAACAGCTGAAAACGCTCTGCTGTAACACTGTGTGTGCTGCTCTGAGCACTGCGCCGTGCCCTCCCATGCAAAGAACATCACCGTGTCCCTGTACACTGGTGGGGAATGCCCTCTTCTTCCATCACCTCTGCAGCCCTATGACCCTAAAGCTGAGAGGAAAAGAAATGAGGCTCACCCCAGCAATGCCTTGAGCCAGGGGAACCCTAAAACCAAGCACAGGCAACGAGTGGGACAACGCAGGTGTCCCGAGGCAGGGCTGGAAGCAGAGCTGTTGTACCTTGTTTGTGTTTCTATGGTATTACCCCACTGCTGGCTCCCCTCCCGCAGCCCCCACCAGCTGCATCTCAGCGAGGTTAATTTCTAACATGAAAAACGGCCTCCCAGGAGCAGCCGTGGTTGATTTAAAATAATAAAAATGGAAATCTCAGATTTGATGACTAATCCCAGGAGAGGGGCTTAAATTAGTGGGAACCAATCGGCCGCAAAAGACCAGAGGAAAATTCCTGCTGGACTTTTCTCCTCGGTCCACTCCCTGGCTTCATTTTCCATCCCCAGATCCTTCCAGCCTGCAAACATATACAGTGTTGCCTCGGCAACCATGAGACGAGATATACGTACACGAAAAAATGAGACAATCTCTTTCCTCGGCGATTGCCTGGAAGGTGGAAAATGGAAACCTCTCATAGCAAGGCCAGCCCATCCCCGACACCCCAACCTGCCCCGAAATGCACCAGCTCCCATGGGAATGCTCATAGCATCCTTCACCCACGCTGGTCTCTGACATGCACCGCTCCCTCAGCCCATGGGAGGATGCTTGGGATACGCTGGTCCTCTAAAACAGCAGGAATGCTGCACGTGCCTGGTGGTGAAAGCACAAACATCCTCCTACAAATAAGCAGAAGGCTGAAAACCAGGGGAAATAGCTGGGTGAAGCGGGCCACTCACATGTCTTGTGGCTGTGACAGAGCAGTAAGGAAAAGCTGCCTTTAGTACCCTGTTACAACTGATAATATTGGGTTGGGTTGGGATGATGTTGGGCTGGGTTGGAGGCTCCCGTGGAGCAGTTCCTTCAGCTCAGCCACCGTGTGCTCTGTTTGGGATGCCAGAAAAAGCTTCAAGTGAAATTCTGGCATCCTCAGAATCGGTGTGGATTTTGCCTCAAGTTTCATCTGAGCCAACAAATCACTCCTTGCTTCCAGCCCCACAATTGTCTTCATCAGTGAAGTTCCTCATCTAAGATTTGCCCCATCAAACAAGGGATGTGCCTGGGATTAAACGTGCCAGGGCCATAACCAGATTTGTTCCTTGGATGCTCCACTGTACTGCCATGCAGTTCTGAGCAGCCCCTTCTCACATCACAATTGCTGTTTGCAGCGTTAGCGCTGAGATGGGCAGGAAAAGTCCTCCAGGGACAGCATGAAATGCAAAGCTGTGATAGCAGAGAACATCATTGCTCAGAAAGTCAAGGAGAAACATGCTTTGCCAAGGTGTGAAAAATATTTATATCTGAACGCACAGTTTCTCTCCAATTTGCAATTCCTTGTGCACTTGGGAACCTGAGCCCTATTTGCGGGAGCGGTTGCTAAGGTAAGCTGCTCTCTGCCATCAGCATGCCAGTTCTGGGGCGCAGAGAAGATGAAGTGAAAAAAAGGGTGGGAATGTGTGATTTGATCTGCTTTTTAAGCAATAACAGCTCCACTGCAAAGCTGTAATCCGTGGGGTGGAGCAGGACCAAGATCATAACTCCCAGAGAAGAAAAATGATGCCCTTTCACATGCTGGTAGCGTGTTATCTTTAAAGTCAGAGGAAGATAAAATAACTGTCTG